AATGTTTAAATATTTAGTTATGAAGAAAGTGAATGGGGTTGGAGTGACAAGAAGAAAATGGAAGAAATGACTGAAGACACAGCCAGGTGATTTAATTCAATAAGCAGTTCCTTATTGTAATTTGACCATGAACAAAAGACATTACAAATTACACAGGAAGCCCACAAATAAATATAAATCATGACTGTATTAAATAGAGTCAATGCGTATTGCCTCTCATGGGATTGTTTGCCATTTCAAGCAAAAATACACAAATCCATGTCAACAGGGCTTTTTAAATATTTGCAAAATTTTGCAATTTTCCAAAAATTTGTTGATTTTGTTTGTCCAAGATCATCTTGAAAAGAATTGTTGCCAAAAGTCTATTATATATCATGCTGCTCCTTGAAATCCTTGAAAAGTCCTGGAATTGAAAAGCACTTGAAAATGGGAAAAAAACACTAAAAAACTCCTGGAGACCTCCATGATATATCTCATGAAATTGACATGTTGCTTGTTAGCTTTTGGATTGAATTTGGCTATACTTTTGAAATTTACCTCTGGAAATGTCCGCAAACATCAAAACATCTCTTCAAAAATAGTGCTTGAAAATTGCACAAATCAGTATCATTCTGTAATTATGGTATTATTGAGTACATGAACCTGTCAAAGATACAATGACAGCAATGACTTTGTCATCACTTTTCTCTTTTGACGTCACTATGTAATGTTAATTCTATAGGCCATGTTCTTTCAGGTATTTGATTGTAAGGGACAGTGAAGATAAAGGAGTTGCTCTTTCACATTTTCGATTTGATTTGGATGAAAATATGGATGAAGTTATATATTGGTAAGACCACATAATATTCAACAAATTACTGTATGCTCAATGATCTGAAATAACAAACTCAAAGAGACCTACACAAACATAACAACTGGGTTTTCTGCAAATTTTAGACGTGCAATGATGAACTAACTTACTGCATTTTTTCCCCAGGGGGAACTCCCTTGGTAGGTATGCTCTAGGGAMMYTTTWRGGKTSRAAAWWAAAMCCYT